GCCTCGGGGCACGTCGCGGCGGCCTGGGGGCGTCCGCTTTGGGGGGGGGGAGGGAGGAGGAGGAGGTGGAGGAGGAGGAGGAGGGAAGGAGGAGGAGGAGCTGGAGCAGGAGCAGGACGAGCAGGAGCAGGAGCAGCAGAGGAGGAGTAGACGAGGAGCAGGAGGAGGACCGCAGGAGGAAGAGGAAGGGGCAGGAGGAGGAGGCAGAGGAGGGGGAGGAGGGGGAGGAGGGAGGAGCAGGAGGGGGATGAGGGTGGAGGTGGAGGAGAGGAGAGGGACGAGGAGGACGAGGAGGGAGGAGGAGGAGGAGGAGGACGAGGAGGAGGAGGAGGAGGAGGAGCAGGAGGCGGAGGAGGAGAAGGAGGAAGGAGCAGCAGGAGAGAGGAGCAAGGGAGGAGGAGGAGCAGGAGGAGGAGGAGGAGGAGGAGGAGGAGGAGGAAGGAGGAGGAGGAGGAGGAAGGGGGGGAGTCGACTGCACGTCAGGGTGACCCTTCGCCAGACAGACCTCGGTGGACCAGTCATGAGAAAGCGGGCCGCCACCGTCGCATCGGCGCGCCAAAGGCCACTCCTGCCCAGGGTCACTCTTGCGCGCAGCCAAGGAAGGCATTCCAGTGCAGTCACGGGGGTGCGTTTGGGGGATCTCTTCCTCCTCCTCCTCCTCCTCCTCCTCCTCCTCCTCCTCCCTCCTTCCCCTCCACCTCCACCTCCACCTCCTCGTCCTCCTGCTCCTCCTCCTCCTGCCCCTCCTCCTCCTCCTCCTCCTCCTCCTCCTCCTCCTCCTCCTCCTCCTCCTCTTCCATCTTCTCTTCACATAGCTCGCACAAACCATGAAACTGGAGCGGCCCCTTGTGGCTTGGTTTTTGTATGTTATGTGGGGCCTTCGGGGATGGGCACCGGCGAGGCGAGCCCTAGGAGACACATGTGACGAACATGTGAAGTCCCACCGTCGAAAATATCTCAACCAGCTTGCATGTGGAACGGGGCCGAAGCAGTTTAGCAAGGCTGAGCAGCAGAGCTGGAGGTAAGTATTCCATCAACGTCTTTGTCGGAGAGCTCGACACTCAATACTCCCCCTCATCCTCGAGGTTGGGGGATTGTGGAGTCACTTGGTGTTCAGAGGGGTTCGTAAGTTGATTATCTTATCTGATGCGTGTTCCCGTTACGTGTGCTGTTCTCTCTATATATTTATAGATACATGTATATATATATATATATATCGTTATCGCGTTCTCTGTCTCTCTCTTCCTCTCTCGCTCTATAATATATATATATATATATATATATATGTGTGTGTACGTGTGCCATGTTCTCATTCAGCTATGGTGTGCCTGCCAGTCCATTCAAACTTGCTATTGACTGCATTGCTTTGAATTGCTGTGCATCGCCTTTCATTGCATTGCATACTGTTATATTTCGTTGCATCATTTCGCGTTGCGTTGCATTGTGGTGCCTTCCGCTGCAGCGCGCTGCATTGCATTGGATGGTTTTGCATTGGTTTGTATTGCTGTGCATGGCGTTAGGTGGCGTTGCGTCGCTTTACATTGCATTGCGTTGCATGGCGTTGCATTAATTTGCATGTCGCTGATTTGTGCTGCGTTGCATCGCTCTGCTGTGCCCTGCACTCCATAGATACCACCACATACAGTTAAGCACGTAGAGCTCACCGCACATGTTCAAGGAATCTTTGTCTGGGATCCACGCGGGCTAACTTTGTTGTGAAAAGCGCTGGGTGCGACAGCATAATTCCGAGGGGTGGCCTCGGCCTTACTCCGTTCTTCGGTCGTGGTGCTGGCCGTGCTCGGGTTCCTCGGGTGTGCTCCTTCGGTTGTCAGGTCCTTGGTGTCCCCCCTCCGTGGTCCTTGGTTCCCCCGCCGTGTTCCCCCAATATTGGCCCTCGGGTTCCCAAGTTTTGTCAAGCATTGCCCAACGGCGCCACACGGTGCCAAGCCCAGCGAAAAGTCAAGCAACGCCAAGCAATGCCAAACAGTATCCGGCCATGTCGAGCACTACCACGCATCGCCACGCAATGCCAAGCTAAGCAAAACACAGCAAAGCCACGCTAGGCAACGCCGAGCAATGCCAAGCAATCTCCAGCCATGCCAAGCAAGGTCAAGCGGTGCAACGACATGCCGACCAGCGCCAAGCATTGCAAAGCAAAGCCACGCAATACCAGGCAACTCAAAGCAATACCAAGCAGTGCCAAGCAAACTAAAGCACCGAAAAGCAATGCCACGACGTGTCAAGCAAGGTCAAGCAATGCCAGGCAATGCAACGCAGTGCCACGCAACCCACACCAAAGAAAGGCCATGGCAAGCAGCGCCAAGCAACGCCAAACAATGCAACTCAATTCAAAGCAATGCCGAGCAATTCCAAGCAACGGCCAGCACTGCACGAAAAAGCCGCGCACTGCCACGCAGTAGCAAGCAACGCCACGCAGTGCAACGCAGTGCAGCGCCAAGCAGAGCGAAAGCGCCTTGCTTGTGCAGGGGGAAGGCTGGAGAGGGGGGGGAGTTCTTCTATGTGGGGGGCGGGGGGGAGAAGATGGGGCAGCAGGCGGCTGAGGAAGGCAAGGAGGAACACGTCGAAGAGGACGCAGAGCATGCGCGCGCGAGGAGGAACACGCCGAAGAGCTTGTGTTTCGTCCCCACATGCCTAACCCAAATAACTGCGGTTGCCTCGTTCTTGTTTGTGGAGGGGGGGTGGGGGGGGGGCTCGGGGGGAGGAGAGATTGTCATCCTCTGGGGGGGAGGAGTGCAGTGTGAGGAGGTTGAGGAGGGTGGGGAGGGAACGCGCCAACACGCACACGGAGCATGCATGCGCGCGCCACAAAAGTATTCAAAGACGCACGCGCGAGACGCACGCACGAATTTAGCGTGCAAGCTTCGCGCGAGCGCCCTGGAACACAGAGTGGCTCCACAATCCTCCGTTCCCTATCCTCCCCCACATTCCTCCCCCTCCTCCCCCTCCTCCTCCCGCTCAATTCCTGGCGACAGATGCGCCACCCGAGCTCGTCCGCTCGCGAGTTGTCGGAACTGGCCAACGCGGCTCGATACGCTTGCGAACCCACCAGTATAGAGGGCTCTCCTGGCGCGTGTCTGACCCTCCTGGCTCAGCCACGGGTGACCGAGATGGCGCCAGGGCCAAGGCGGGAACCACGTCTAGACACTCGCCCTACATGTTGGCCCCGCCCATGCGTGCGTCAGGGGCGCATGTTCCCGCTTTGTAGGCGGCTGAAAACGCATCTTGACGAACTCATTCGGCTACCATTGCTCTTCCTCTTCCTCTCTCTCTCTCTCTGTCTCCCTCTCTGCCTCTCTCTCTGTCTCCCTCTCTCTTTATCTTTCTCTCTTTATCCGTTTCTCTGTGTCTCTGTCTTCCTCTCTCTCCCTCGCTCTCTCTCTCTCTCTCTCGCTCTCTCTCTCTCTCTCTTTCTCTCTCTCTCTCTCTCTCTCGCTCTCTCTCTCTCTCTCGCTCTTTCTGTCTCTCTCTCTCTCTCTCTCTCTCTCAATATCCTCATCCTGTCCATTCCCCTCCTTCTGCCGATCCTCGATCCTCCTCCTCCTCCTCCTCCTTGTCCTCCTCCTCTTCCTCCTCCTCCTCCTGCACCCCTGTTCCTTTTGAGTAAGTCCTCCCTGTCGCGCCCCGAGGCCAGTCGGAAGGGCGGGCCCGGCGTTTCGCGTGAGTCTTCTTTTCCATGTATGATCTTGAACCCTGCGGCTTCACATTCGGAGGGCGGATGGTTTTCAAAACGTGGCTCTCGCCTCAGCGTCGCGCACAGGTGTTTCAAACATGTCAAGATTCACCAAGTGAGGGCGGGTCGTTTTCAAAATGTGGTTCTTGCCCTAGTGCCGCGCACATCCGTCTCATAATACGCATGTGTTTTACGGATTGAGGGCGGGCCGTCTTTTTTATGCCGTTTGCCTTGGCGCCGCGCGCATTCGTCGTAAAGGTTCGGGCGGGTCGGTTTCAAAATGCGGTTCCCGCTCTAGCGCTGCGCACGCTTGTATTATAAAGTCGCAAGAGCCTCAGGAATTGAGGGTGGCTCCCTCGAAGTATTCTAATGGTTAACGTACCAGGAATGGTGTTTTTAAGCGGTTCAGGGCTCTCAGGGCGCGACAGTTGTGTTGACTCACGGCTCTGAAGTTCCATCAATGGTGTTCTGCCACGATTCAGGGTCGTCGCGACGCAACAGTCAGGTTCATTCGTGGTGTTGGAGTCCCGAGGATGGTGGTTTGGCACGCGTCGGGATTTTCAAACAGTTGTCTCCCGACGGGGAGCTTCCTCAAGGGGAAATGGATCCTTGCAGGTGCCTATGAAGAGGGAGCTTGGAGGGAGGGCTGATTCCAACATCGTTGGTGAGTCTTGGGTTTGCGCGGGTCCTCCTCCTCCTCCCCCTCCTTCTTCTCCCCCCTTCTCTTCCCTTGGGAGGCGGCCTGGCTGTGCTGGAGGGGAGGAGGGGAGGTGCGGGATCGAGGACCGAGGCTGTTGGACGTACTTCGAGGCTGCGGGATCAAGGGGTCGAGGGTCGAGGCTGTGGAGGGGTTCGAGTTGCTGAGGGCATCTCGAGTTAGGTCGGGCGTGTCCCCCTACAGGGGGATTTCCAGCGAGCGAAGAACGGTATAAAATAAACTTGTTCGCTGTCGGGGGCGCCTGTCCCTGGGCGGTTGGAAAGTTTATACCCCTACGGTGCCACCGTGCCACCGTAAGGGTATAAACTTTCCAGCCGCCCAGGGACAGGCGCCCCTGACAGCGAAAAAAAACATGTTATACCGTTTTTCGCTCGCTAAGATTTTGGGGCGAAAAGTAGTCAGAACATGTTCAGAAATGGGCAACAAATCGTTCCCACTGTATTTTTTTGACAATGTTTGGATACGTCCCCTGTAGAGGGACAGGCCCGACTCAAATTCTAGAGTGTTCTCGGTGCCCACGGTTGGATCCGCCGCGGAATTCTGGCGACAACGCATCCCCGAAGAAGGGCTCCAGGTGCCGGCTCTCGCCGT